CGTGTTTATTTGGCCACCGAGATAAGTTGGCAAAATCGATTATTTCTATTGTTCTTTAACAGATTTATACAGATTATAAACAAGCAAGGATTTCAAAGTTATCTTTGGCATATTTAAAAATCTTGCTTGCTTAATTTTATAACTTATTAGAAAACACTAAAAATACTAAAAATGATTGGTTTTTGCCAACTTATCTCGGCAGCTAACTAGCCCCGTCTCGGGGCTGTTTCGAGCGATAATATTCACTCGACGATTCGGAGCAGAGAGTTCACTCCATACGAGTAAAAAATATCTCGAATTCGAATTCGACTCGAATGGTCATTCTTTATTACTTTTGAATAAAATTCCACTTTGTGAAACTTAGAGAGTACGAATCACACTGTCCGTTTATAGGTAATATTCGTGATTGCGCTGCAGATTTCAGTCGCGGGAGGTTTAATTTCGACGACTCGCACTTCTCCCATTTAATTCTCGTAACAATGCGCTATTCCCCGAGAGGTCGAACTGGACGCGCGACTCATTCGTTGTTCGCAAAGCGGCTTCCGTAAAGACCGGCTGTAGAGCCGACATTTGCATAAAGCGGTATTTGCATAGAACACGCATGACGAAATCGCGCGATGACGAGAACGGCAGCGGTGAGCGACGCTATCAACGCGATGCGTTGATACCCGCGCGCTTAGTTTAATCGTTCATATCCATATTTAGCATAGCTTAGTTCTTAACGCGGAAGTGATTCTCTTCGAAGCTTGAGAGTATTCGAAGCCGATGAGATATCTCTTGTGTAGCGAGTATTTAACGATAGACGCGCGGTAAATTGCGGGTGGATAGGTAAACGACAGATGCGAATACGTCATCACAGGATGACTACCCAGATAGACTTTCGTGATCATCACGATGTGAGAAATCGATGATGGTTCCTCTAATTACATTTATGAAACAAGTGTTGAATCAATTATATCAAATTTGCGCATTATAAAATAATGTAAAGGAAGATATGACTTTTAGGCGATTTGGGGACCGCTAGGTGAACGCAAATTTCCTATTTTTTCCTTCGCATTTTTTCCCGTAGAATTAAAATTACGCCAAGCAAAGGGAAAAATAGTTATAGATATTTAAACGTTGATTTTCCCTGAAAATCATGCATTTTCCAACACTGTCATCTTAAATACTTTTGATCTTTTTAGAGGTGCTAAATCTCACGTTACATAGGAGACTTATTTTCTCAAAACTTAATAATGATATAACAATATATTCTAAGCAGCAGAGAAAAAGCAGCAGTCAATCGGCCGAAATGGGCAACTAATTCCGAGCTCTGCCTTAAGCGGAGCGATTTGAGCGGCGAAAGCTACTACGAGATGCTCGTATATGCTCGAGAAGAGGCTCTTTATATGCTTTCGTTAATTCCCTGTATAATCTTGAAAAAGCTGGTCTACAAAATCACTTTTGTACTATTTTGATAGTTAATATTTTTTTAATTGACTGCTACTTTTCCTTTGTTGCTTAGAATATATTCTTATATCATTATTAAGTTTTGAGAAAATAAGTCTCCTATGTAACGTGAGATTTAGCACCTCTAAAAAGGTCAAAAGTATTTAAGATGGCATGTTAGAAAATGCATGATTTTCAGGGAAAATCAACGTTTAAATGTCTATAACTATTTTTCCCTTTACTTGGCGTAATTTTAAGGTCGATTTTTTGATTCTACGGGAAAAAATACGAAGAAAAAAATAGGAAATTTGTGTTCACCTAGCGGTCTCCAAATCGCCTAAAAGTCATACTCTCCTTTCTTGTTGTATTGATGCGGTGAATTTATTAAATATTAGATCTTCATACGCGAAGAAAAAAATACTTGAAGATTTATTTGTGAGATATAGAGTTTATTTCTGCGAAATAAGTTTATTTCTGCGAAATAAGTTTATTTCTGCGAAATAAGTTTATTTCTGTGAAATAAACTTTTATCTGACAAATAAATTTATAAGTACTTTCTTCTTAATGTGTAGCGTTTATCATGACGTATTGTTTGAAATAAATTTTCATCATTTTTGTTGTGTTTCTTTCGTATTTCTATTTCGTCATTCTATGTGGTAAATATGAATGCAATCTTATCAGCCATAAAAGATTCAACGTTGTTGAATTTCGTGACTTAATATACTTAAAGCTGCTGTAAAGTTTACATTATACTAGTCTATCAAAGTAGAAACTTCCATTATGGGATCGAAGCGACTCGATGCGTCGTCACGAGCCTATCCCGCCACGTGTATAATAATTACGTTCGACGTTTCGCACGATCACACCTACGATATCTCTTCCTACGTGGCGCATCGTCTTGTGAGTACCTCCTGCCGGCGAGGAAGTACTGTTTAACATTAGCTGACGAAACAATCGATAAGGCTCGTACCTTAAAAATTCTCTCGCGCGGTACGTCACGCACCTTCCACGAACGATAAACTCGAGGTGAACGTGACGCGTCTCGGGAGAGGCGACCTACGCCGAAATCAACGTGCAAACACAGACGCGGTGGAACGTCCGTATTTTCCTCGCGCGAGTCATCGGCAATACGCGGAAAAATCAATGTTACGTGAACGACCGCGAGAAACCGCCGGCCTCGTGCGGGAAATCTATTATTACAATGAGAAAAAATACTTGAAAATTCATTTGTGCGATCTAAAGCCTATTTCCACGAAATAAAATTTATTTCTATGAATAAACCTTATATCCCACAAATTTGAATTTTCAGGTATTTTTTCTTAGTGTAGAGTAACTTTAATGCAAAAATTTCACCTACTTATATGTGTACATAATTTCGTTCCTTCTTCCCTTAAGTTTCATCTATAATGTGTTATTTGCTTTCTGTTTTTTTATCTCTTTCTAACTCTTTAAGCCAGAAAAATACAAAAGACAAGAAACAGAACGAAGAGTATATTGTAGATCAGGCTTAAGCCTTAAACTAAAAAAAGATAAAGAACAAGAAACAGGAAGCAAAGAGTACATTGTAGATTAGGCTTTAAATTTAGCATTCAAGAAAATATAATCTCATAATGGAATTCTCTAATGTTATGGCCTTAAGAGGATTCTATTGAAATCAAATGGAAAACGTTTTAACGTCTAAAGAAAAAGAACTTTAGTTTTAAGTGCTGCACACTGAGAGAAAAAAATATTCAAAAAATAAAATATATCTATTCGGTGGTTACTAATGATTTACTGATACTAATACATATATTTTTGCAGTGAATAAAAATTTGTTTTAAACGGGAAAATATGTATTTTCTTACAATGAGAAAAGAATATTTGATAATTTATCTGTGGGATAAAAGTTTTTTTCATAGATGTGTAAATTTTATATCCCACAACTAAATTTTCGAGTATTTTTTTCTGGAATTTTTCAAGAAGAATTGTTTATTCTATTTAAATAAAAGAATTTCGATTTACGTAAATATATTATTAATACTCGCCGAATAAATATTTTATACCTTTCAGATATTATTCTCTCAGTGTACTTCTGCAAGATCCGAAAAAATGCTTCTCTTCTAATGAAAAGAAATGATATTGTATTTGAAATATTTTTCTTTTGCTTTTAGAGAAATTTTCCTGAAACCATATAGTATAAGTAAAAGAACTCCGTCAAAAGGATGAGACTTTTTTGGATAAAGGAATCTAATTTGCTAAGAACAGATCCGGCTTCGAATCGTTACGACACATTGATACTCGATCGCTATTAAATGCAGACCTAGCAAAATTCTGTTCGAGGTCACTGGACCGACGTTTCGAAAGCGACGCGACGACGCTATCTGACAAAAAAAAGTATGTCATGATTGTTTCGCGGTAATCGCGGCGATTCCAGGTCGATGGCTGTCGTCACGTTCGACAGTCAACTCCGACCGCGCGATCGTTATCCGAAACTGATATTACGTGTCGCGCAAGTCGGGCGAGAGAATTGCATGCCGAAAAGTTCCAATTAACATTCTTGGAACAGCCACAAATCGCGCCAGACGACGGCGTCTGGTTCAGACGCGTTCGAAATGATTACATTTGCGCGCGGCCGAATGATATCGGGATCGCGCACAAACCACTGGTCCGCCCCGGACTACGGAACGACCTTAGGATAATCATTTCGCCCGGACTTGAGCGGACCATGACAGAACACCAAGGTTAATCAATTTCTGCCAGGCACGCCGTACGTGTAATGTACGTAATCCGCTTATAACGGAGCTTGAAATATCATATTTGCCATACCACCGGCGCGCGCGCCCACACACACATACACAAACAGTCTCACGGTGTGTGAGTGCAGCGCAGAAGAGCAGGGTGATCTCAAATAATTTAGTCATACCGACGTAATTGCTAACTTCAGCCGTTAAGCTTATTCTACAAATTATGAGATCTCCTCAAATATTAATTTAAGAAATATCCTTTCGTAATAAACACAGACACACATACACACAGATCTAGAATCGTCAAATAATTCCGAATGCGGCGCGAAAATGTGCGCCATTAGCGTCAGCTAATTGAAACCGGTTTAATTCTGACGAGAGAGCAACATTTCCGACGCTATAAACACGGCAGAATATGCGACGCCATATTGTTGAGATTGCACTTCCGATGTTCTTTTAGCGTCGTGTCCTTTCAGGAAGATCCTCGCGCGATTATATCGATACAGAGGACAACATCGAGATACGCCGACAGCATCGAGAAGGTATCAATCTTCACGAGAAACGTTAAAAAACGCGGCAGAGATAACCTCTCGTCCGGTGTCGCGGACGTGTCTCTCAACATTTGAATGTCTCAACGTGCGAATCGTCGAGCTGCATGGCGCCATTCAACAGATTCGCGAGACGCTTTCGCGCTAGAGCGGAGTCGTCGCGATTACGCTGCGAGCTCTCTCAGGCTCTCTCTCGGGCGTTTACGGTCACGACGGTCTGAATTCGAGGAAATTAAACCGGCTCCAATCGGCGGGCGACCGGCGCGCAGCGCGCGACGCGCCTTTGCGCGTTGTCACTAACCTGGCTGAGCGTAGTCGGGATGATGTCGGGTGTTTGCGGCAACATCTTGCGCACGTTCCGTCGTCGAGCACCTCGAGTCAAAGCGATCTACCGGCACACGCGATCAGTGGCATAATAGGTCGACGAGAAGACCGTGAAAAGAAAACACCTTGACGGGACACACTGGGATCGATCACGGAGTCGCACTGGCTGTCCTTCTCTCTCTCTCTCTCTCTCTTCCTCCCACCAATGTCCGCTCTCTCTCCTCTCTGGTTTTTGCCACTGTACCGAAACTGATTCACGCGGCACTCGCGAATCGACGCGACCGTCTCTCGTCGACGCGCTAACGATCGGAGCTCGCGAGAAACCGGCGGCCGAGGTTGCCCGTCGCTTGTGTAGAGGACGTTCCGGAGCGGCTGAGCGCGACGTAACCTCACATGACAAGAGTATGCGCGAGACTGACGGGTCCGGGCGGTGTAGCTGCACCCGAGCGCCGCCGAGCGCCGCCGAAGACTGCCGAGCGCCGGCGGAAACGCCCGAGCGGCTGTCATCCCCAGCGTACGCGCCCGTACCCAACTTCATGGGTAACGGCTATCGATAGGGATGACAGCACGACGCTTCAACGACGATTGATGCGATTTCCTGCGACAAAACAAAGCGTATATCGACCGTCTTCACGCCGCTTTTTCGAGAACGCGTTTCGCGTTTTTCATCGTGATCCTATGCGCTCCCGAACGAAGGTAACATAATTGCTCTGTGTGCAAACAGGTTTCTCTTGACTTTTCATTGTTAATTTTACGCGATTATTATTTTGTAAGGGAATATTTCAAATTAAAATTTACCTCTCCAGTGATATGTTCAGAAAGTTACGAGAATATTCAATTCCTTTTGATTTACTTAAAGCCGACTTTTCAACAGCAGTTTAAACTCAAATTTAAATTTGAGAACTCTATTTTAACAATAAATTTGATGTGTTTAAATAGAGTTAGTTTAAGTTATAAATCTAAATTTAAGTTTTAGTACTTTAAATTTAAGTATTTTTATTTAAAAATTATCTCTAAAACTATTATATTTTTCTACTTACAACAAATATAAATTAGATACATTTCGAATTTTTTAAAATTCTTGAAAGAAAATAGCAATAAAGAGAAAAGGAATTTGACACACTTATTTAAAAAAAAAGAAAGAAAAAAACTGCATTCTGGAGGAAACCGCACAGTTATTTTAAATCGCTATTGAATAATAATCGTGAATAATAATCAATTAATATTTGACGTTACTCTTTTCTATCGGTGCAGAGATACGATGCGGGTTTAATGAACGGTTGAAGGTTCAAGAATTCTACGTAAGTTCTTTTGCAGATAGATTCACCACGAGGCGTTCGTTTGTATTCGCGGTGTAACGGTTGCCTCGCAGGTAGCATAATGCTCGCGTATCTAAGGTTGCTTTGCAAATGACAAATTCCTTTCTCCGAGTGCTCGCACGTCCACCGAAGGAATCGTATCTCTAGCTGCGTAAATTTAACATATGCGGGACTCTTATCTCTCCCTTTTACTCGCATTCTTCCGTTAGATGTTGTCGCATTGCAGTGGACGTTCTTGAAATTCTTCGCTCAAGTATTCCCCAAAAATGCACTCCAGTTATTTCTAGTCAACGCGTGCACGATTATGCTTCATCAATTATTGCTTATTTTCCAACCGCTGGAAATTCACCGGACCGTCTGTAAAGATATAAGTAGGAAGTAAATACGAGGAAGAAAGGAGGAAACGAAGAGTAAACGATTCTTTTGTTTACGCGAGCTAGCGGAAACAATGCGAAGAGGCAGTATGATGTGACGTGTGCCGACGTGTATAAAGCGCAAGAGATAGGAATAAAGGAATGTCAGGAAAAAGTGAAGCAAAAAGAGCCGGTTAAAAATAGTGGACCGGTTACGTCAACCGGTCCTTCCAAGGACCACGGCCCATTATATTCTCTTTTCCACGTCGCCTCCGTAGGACGCCTGGAAATGCCAGAAATTGAGACGAGTAAAGTGATAGCGCGTATCTCGCGTCATCGCGTGCCAGACATTTGTTCGCGTCGAATAGCGAACGCAATAGTTTATGCAAGAGAGCACCGCGGCGTCGCAAATATAAGACCACAATGACGTTGTGCAAATGATATATTGATTACAAGGAACAAAAAAGGGTCAATTTTCGATAAAGGCGCGAAATATAGAAGTCGGTCAGACACGATGGAATCTCCGCGTTGCATGCCACACCTGCCTAAAGCCGCGATAAAGCAAAACGCTCGCGTCACGGCACGTGAGTCACAGCAAGTGAATCTGTATTAACGAGCTCTCAAAGGACGACGTTGTGATAATCCCTATGGCACGAGTACAGCGGCATTCCTCGTAAATAAAATATGTGACTAATTCGATGACTCGTGATACAGGACAATGATGCGACCGATTAGTTCGATTCAATTCGTCCTTCTCTTCGCTCAACACGTACGTAGTACAGGAGATGTCACGTCGCGGTTCGTTAAAACTGTTGCAATTGGAACCACACACGAATAACCGCCCTTTTCTGTCCCATCTCGGGCGCACACAAATCAAACGATTTAAATTAAAACTCGACTGCCACTTTCCTCGTGCAACTTTCTACGACCTACATTCCGTCTGTGCCAACGAGATCGCTTTTATCCGTACCGTCGAACGCTCAACTTCCGGAATAATTCACAGCCGACTTCCACACAGATGACCGATTCTAAATCAGTCTCGTTTGCATATCCGTCCGTGATGGATACGAGTTATAGCGTGGCGGATAAACCGCAGCAAGATCAATTTCGCAGCCACTACATTCATGCAACTATATATAACGCGTCACCACGACAAATGAAAAATCTATTCTGAGCTAAATTTAATACTGCACGAAATGCTGAATTAAAGGTCATAAAGTGACGTGTACGATATTGCTAGCACGAGTACGTTAAATAAAGAGATAAATAAAGAAAGAAATAAATAAACAACGTGACTCGCTGCACTGAAGTGCGTTTCGCTGGCTGGAGGTCACGTAACCACGAGGACAATAGTCGTAGGTACGGAGCTGTTCAAGTATCATAACAATCCTTGATGCGAAGTTGAACGTATCGGAAGTCGTCGCGCGTTCGTCGCCGCTGATTTTTCCAGAATGATAGAGGTGTGAGTGAGACGCGTTACCTCGACTATCGTGCCAGCATTATCATATCATGAGAAACACCTCCATCTTGGCATCTTGAGGTTAACTATTATTTTTCATTTCGAGATTAATTTAAAAAATAAATATATAATTTCGAACCTCCGCACACAAAGAAATGACTTATGCCTAATGTTTCTGTCAACGTCGATTAAACTTTAACCTCAGTTTAAACTCTGTTCAGAGAAAGACTTAAACTCAGGTTAAGGTTTGAGAAGGTATTGCTGGTATAACTTTTGCAAAAAGTAACTGAAAATGAGAAATATCCTAATATTTCTATTTTTCATATAAAAACGTATGATATACAAAGTGCTTCGAAAAAATATTGACACTTATATGGAGATAGTTATATTTTCATATAAATTTTAATATTTTTTTAAGCACCATGTATATGTACAATATAGTTTAAAAAACTACACGTTTATTTGTCGAGTAGCTAAGAAAATGACAACTATTTCTAAATATTTTATGCAAATAAATCTCGAGTATTTGTCTCTGTAAGAAAATAACTTTATAGAGGTCGTTGATTGACCGCGCTCTGATTGACCAATTTGTTTTACTAATATCTCGATAATTACTATGGCGGAGTCAATACAAAATAGTACAGAATTGTTGTCTATTCAATTTAACAAGCTCTGCCTACACACGAGAACCTAAATCCAGACACAGCCTGTACAATTAATAGGTACAATTAATATGTATGTAAAACAACAAGCTTTTTGTCTCTTCATAATCTTTCATTAACATTAAAAATATATATAAAATATTTGATACAATACTCGTGTGTAAGTAGAATTTTGCACAAATAACCATTTAAATAATTATTCCCTTACTTCGATCCTCGATAACTACATTAATCCGGTTATTGCTGCAATAGACAAGACGAAGAAAGGAATCTAAATAGTTCGATCGCGAATAAATGAGGTTACCTATTGCTCGTGTGAGTGTGTGCTTACCGTGCTTTGATCGATCACAATACTTTACTATTCACATTGAACAATAAAAGAGCAACATAGACCGGTGCGGGGACGCGTGCCAAAGAGGTTGCTTCTCGTTTCATGTCGCCACGTCGATTTACTTAAGAGTTATAGCCGAATTTTGGAGCGGTATTCTAGTACGAACGAGGCGCTTGCTTTTGCTACAGCGTACTATGTTTTCACGCTGTATTTGTCTCTTTGAGGTGAATGACCGCGAGAGCGAGCGAGAGAGAGAGAAAGAGAGATGAGGCAGGCGACCGCATGGCTACAGCGAGCAAGTAGGCGGGGAGAGGGGGGCGTCACAGCAGAGCTTATCTAAGCCGCGGAGTGGGGGATAACGAGTCGTACCACCGCGTGTCGTCGCGTATGGCGCGAAGGTGATCTTCCAAGAGATAACAGTCGTGTTCTGCATTCCATTCACGCGTCGTGTCGTACCTGCTCGCAGTAGAGACCCTTGAGTAGAGACTGGACATAACGGGGTTCCGCGTGATTGGTGCACGTGACTTTTGCCCAAAAAATGGCAGCGACAACATAAGTAGAGTGAGGAAAAATATATTCGTCTCACTCTACTTATTGCACTAGTGCAGCAGTGCAACGAAAAAGTACAGACCACGCACTTCTTACGAGCTCACGTATTTGCGCCGCCATTTTGTGGGCGATTTGTCTCTCTTCAAGAGTCTTAAAGGCTGCGTTCCGAAATTCACTGCCAGTACTAAAAATCTATAGTTTATGTCACGTATATTATAGAATTTCAGCACTGGCAGTAAATTTCGGAACGCAGCCTAACTCGCAGCTCGCTACGGCCTGTTCTACAATACGTCGTATGTCGCTGTCGTATGTCAGAATGCAGCCGATGGGCCAATCAGAGCATTTGTTTTTCGAGACGAGTTCTCTTTATTGGATCAGCGACTACGTTCAGCGACGTTTCCGACAGCGACATACGATTGTAGAACAGGCCTAAAGCCGTAACGCCGAGTGATCTAGAACGCGGATCGATATAGGCTGCGTTCCGAAATTCACTGCCAGTACTGAAATTCTATAGTTCATGTCACGTATACTATAATTTCAGTACTGGCAGTGAATTTCGGAACGCAGCCATAATCGTCAATAACTCTATTTGTAGAAGTCGTAGCGACTTGAAACAAGAAGCATTGGAAAGAGAAAATTACCGCGCTTCCGACGGCTGCGAAATCATCCTTCTGTGCAATAAGGATCAAACAGTGTAATCATGTAGGTGCGAAATATTAGGGTTTTTGTATATAAATTAAAGTGGACATCAATTATTAATTTGTGAAATCAACGAGAAGTCTAGGTTCGAATTTGTAACGTGACGCGACGGTTTTATGTTTTTAATGCATTTATATTAGTGTTTTAGCTTTTTTTACTTCTGACTGAAAAAAATTATACAGTCATCAGACTGTTATCATATACTATTATACAGACTATTATACAGATATCATTCATTTAATGCGAACTCTAAATTATTTCGAGCAGTATAAAACGCGCAACAGAATTGCGCCACCCGAATTTTCGCGCGTGGAAATTGTGATTATTTCGGTCGCGTTGCATTTCGCGATAATCGTGGTTATTACTTTCCTAAGTCTTTTATATAAGCATAAAGTACAATTAAAAAAAAGCGATATGATAATAATGGAAACTTTCTGTCTAGCAGCGAATATTGCTCGTATCGTAGTCAAAGTTCAAATAACTAATAAATTTAGCTTGTCATAGCATGTAGCTGCCAGTTATGGTTTAGCTCCTACAGCTAATCATTTGTCTGCGTACGTATTTGTGATACAATGACTTCTATCGATATAACTAATTGGGACAATTATTGTTTGCTTCAGATCTTGCCAGAGTTTGCAGCCACACAGTAAAGCTGATTTCAAGGGATACAGTTTTACAAGTGCCGTACCGAAGGATCCGGTTCGGCCTGAGCAAAGTCGGCTCGAAGGTACGTTCACAGCTCTCTTTTATGCTCTCATTTAACTTTGCGATCGAAAATCAGTACAATTGTATAATTGTACAATCAAAAGTAGAATTGTCTAATAGACGCTCTATAGAAAGCGTCTAATTGCGATCACGAGTTAATGCGCTCGTATTAACAAATCTTTCATTAAGCTTTTCAAAATCTGATCAACGAAATTATTTCTTTTGTTCTAGAATGTCGCAGAACGTTGCCGGCTCTGAGTCCGCGGTGTTTTGGTGAGTGAAAAAATATGTGCAAAATCTGTTAAATACAAAATCTTGAGATATGTTTATAATGTCTCAAGAAGATCAATGCGATTTACTTAGCTTGTTTCTCGCAAGTTGGGTTTTGTTTGTGAGTGTTAATAACGTCCGCTAATAAATACTGCTCGAAATAATCTGGAGATTGCTTCTTTAAATGCCTGCAATGTCGGATATTTATCAATGAAAATTTTCTTGACTAAAATAATGATAAAACAATAACCTCTCTCTCAAAGTTAATTAATTTTCATATATAAAATCATAAGTAAATTTATATATTTGTTGAAATAATTATTAAACTTTTAATAAAATTTTTTTTATACGACTTATTGTACGTTGATTAATAATTCGTCAATCTATTAAATTATTCGTGATTACATACATGATGATTTATTAATTTTGTTGATTGATTTGCTGATTATTTCAATTAAATTTGGATTGATTAATAGTCAACTGATATCAATTGATATTACGTGAGAGATATACCAGATATTTGAATATATATCTCCTTTTAATATATTTACTCTCAATTTTTAGAAAACGCATTTATATTAGTGTTTTAGCTCATTTTACTTCTGACTGAAGGTAAAACAATTTTACAGTGATATCATTCATTTAATGCGAACTCTAAATTATTTTGAGCAGTATAAAACGTGCAACAGAATTGCGTCACCCGAATTTCCGCGCGTGAAAATTGTGATTATTTCGCGCTGAATTTCGCGATAATCGTGGTTATTATTTTTCTGAATCTTTTATACGCGGCGAATTATAACATCATTTCAATCAAAACTATCGCTGAACCCAATATTTATATTTATCGTTTTTTTCACAAAATAAAACTCGTAAATAAGAAACTCATTTTTTTCGACAAGATATAATCATTCGCGATGTAAAGTATTTTCTTCTCTCTCAAAAACTTCTCGTCGAAAACGATAAAATTATTTCGCAATCTTTAACACGTGATTTGCGGCAAAATATTCGCGTATTTTCGAAATATTTGGGCTTATTGCGTACTTTTCTTGAAATCGTTAAATATCATTGAAATAATCGCGCTTGTAAGTGAAATGTGATTGACGTGGAGCGACGACTGGACGATACGGAGATTGGATGCCGAGGAAGCTGAATGACTAGACGGATGCGGAGCAACATGAGAACTTGGACATCTGGACGTTGTTCAATACCAAAACATCAATTGGTGAGTGTACAATCCAAACGCTTATAAAGCATTACATTACGTAGTGCATGTTTATGTATAAATCGCATTGATTTTCTACGTGGAAAAGTAACGTGGAATTTGTGTATTTTAATACACAATTTGGAGTCTCTTAAAAAGATTTTAATAATGAAGAAGATACTTAATTATAATTAAGATCATTGCTTACACTGAGAATAAAATACTTGAAAACTTATATTTGTGTGATATAAACTTTACCTCATAAAGAGATACATTTTTTTTCTTAGAGATAAACTTGATATCTCGCAAATAAGTTTTCAAGTATTTTCTTCTCAGTGTAATAGTGACGTGACTTATCCCGTTGGAACGAACATGTGTTATCAATGTGCTCGGCAATTTGATCGCCTGAATAGCAAAGTGTCTAAATATCAATACAATTCACTTTGCTCGATAAATATAAACATATTGCTGTATGTCACCTCATTAATAACGGAGGCGGATTCACCAGCCTGAATAATAAATTAGAGATATATAACGAATATATAATGAAAGATGTATACATATATGAAATACCATGCTGACAATTGGCGTAGCTTCCGAGATTGAATTTCTTCGAATCTCCCGTTCGCGAAACGTGAGCGCGAATCGTGGCGCCTATCTTCCACGTTTCGTTTCCTCTTCCCTTACTCGGTCCGACTCCGTACTCCTTAAAATAGCCGGAGAATTTTCATGAGCTGCTACGATCGTATCCACGTACGTTGTTGCAAACACCTAGTCCGCTGCGGAGCGTCCTGCAGAAATTACGAGGGTTATAAAACGAGTTTAAATTTAAACACCGCCGCCTCCTAACATCGTCTTGTTCGCGTTACGGTAAAAGCAGTGCTGAAATCTATAAAATGAAAATCTTGAGTAAAAGCTGGGGTCTGAAATAACACGTACATTTTTTGTTTGATACAAAGGGATTTGAGGGCCGGTTTTTCCAATTTCTTGATAAGTTAATTGATAGTTAAATCATATGTGTGACTTTGTCTGAGGAGAAGTTGAAGGAGAAACAAAAACAGATATATGATTTAATTATCAGTTAACTTATCAAAAAGTTGGAACAACCGATCCTAGTGACTCTATTCAGAATATTAAAGAAAAGGATTCAAAATTTATAGGAAAAAAAATAGATAATACTTCTTATAGTAAAATAAAAAAAGTGCTCAGACACAGGCTAAAAAATCAACCCTTTTAAAGCTACAAATATTTTTCGATTTTGATAATATAAATTATTCGTGATACTTTTATCAGGTATCTTACTATATTATTACTTTGATATTTGCAAAAAGTATTCTATTGTACATATCTTCTTAACATATCTTCTTAAAACAATCTTCAATCTTCTTCGAATCAGGAGAAGACCAGGAATTTTTGGAAGAGGATATATACAGTCGGGGACTAAAAGGTTGTCCGTAATTTTTGGAGTGAGTTTGTGAACTGGTTTTTCTTGTCTAACGAGAGTATTTTTCCCATTGGAAAACGAATTATCTCATTGAACAGAATGGAATGTTCACAAACTCATCTCAAAAATTACGGACAACTTTTTAATCCCCGGCTGTACAATGATGCGTAGAATATATTTTGCAAACATCAAAGTACTAATTGATAATATGGTAATCTATCTAACTTGTTCATTCATCACGTACGATCCATGAGAGTAAGTAACACAAGTAACTTGTCTTACCAAAACTATGAAAAGGTTGATTTTCTTTCAACCAATATTTACTGAACATTTTCTACTCAGCATAATGAATGCTATCTATTACTAGTTACTACCTATCCTAGTCTTGAATCTGTTTTGTTTCACACCCTGTATAATTCCAATTGAAGTCGAATGTAGTCATAGATACGATCGATAATGTCACGCATCTTGTCCGGCCCATGCACACAGGTTAAAGACTCGAATTCGGCACGACAATTGCGTAAAAATTCCTTTCGACCATGATCGAGCATAAGTTTAAGTAGAATTCAATTGATTTTCTCCAATGAAGAAGGGGAAAAGACGTTTAGAAAGTATGCAACCCTTCGCAGGTACGCGGTGTATTCTATTGAATAACTGATAATACTACCGAGTCTGTTCGACCAGCTAAATCTTCATTATTACTTTGAAATTGTCGCAGCTTGTCGATCGAGACGTACGCGAGTTTTAATCGGATGAATCGGAAATGTCGGAAAAATGTCGCAACCCAAGGTGCAACGGATATCAAAAGAAGTTTATGTAAGGAGTGAAACTTTTGCGGAAAATTATTTAATCCTGTGACGCTTTGCGTCCCGACGAGAGATTTCGCATTTTACGCAGCATTACCGCGGATATTTTCCGCGCTTGTCGCGAAACGCGGCGTTTCACAGAGAGACTCCAGTGACTTCGTGAAAAGCGGACGGTTGTAATAGGAATCTCCGTGAAATGCCGCATCAGTGAACAGGTCTTCATGAAATGTCGCGTTTTATACGACGAGCTTACGACACAAACGCACTTCAACTTCATGCCGCGCGCGCATTCGTGTTAAACGTTTTCCTTATCATCCACAGTGCTCGTAATCACAAGAACAAAGGGCACGATCAGAAAGCGTTGTCAAGTGACGGCAATTCTGCGAGAAATTTCGATGTCGCGCGAAATAAAAGAGCGCAGAACTCAAAGTCGAAGAAGAACTCGCAGAACGGCTCAAAAAATTCCGGAACGTCGTTTAACGAATCGAAGAGATTCAAAAAGTATTAAACAATTCGTGTCTTATTAACGGCAAAATTTCTGCACTCAGAGGAAGAGACGACATTGCGACGGCAACTACCGATAATAAGTTTTGTATGTAGAGAGTTAATATATGTAATTTAATAAACTGTTTTACAGTTTTATAGTTATTGCAACTGAAGGTTTGGCTGCAATAACTACAAAATAGTTTATTAAACTATATTTATTATAATTCTATATACAAAATTCGTATAGTTGTTATCACCTATATAATTACTATTATTATTTTCTTTGAATATGGTCGTAAGTTGAGGTTTACATAAAATATATTAAAAAACAAAAAAATATTAAATATATTTATGAAATATGAAAACTCGTAAAATGCACGGCATTGTGATGACAAATTACAAAACTATACCGATGACAAGTATACGAGTTTTGCATGTAAAATTAATATACGTAATTTAATCCATTATTTTACAGTTATTGCAACTAAAGGTCTGGTTGTAAAAGCTACAAAATAGCTTATTAAATTATATACATTATAATTCTCCATACAAAACTCGTATAGCTGTTGTCAGTTGTATAATTGTCATTATTACGTTTTCTTCTGAGTGTATCCGTAAATTGAGATTCGTAACAATATTAAAAATAGAAAGAATATTAAATTTGTTTATAAAATATAAAAACTTCTACCATACGTGATATATCGAAAGCATTTTACGTGCTACATTGCGGAATATTTCTTTCAGCAAGAAATGCCAAGTCTCGCTGTTAATCGCCGAGAGTTCTCCTTCGATGTATCTGCCGCGAAAGACACGGTGAGGCACTAGATAATAACAATAAATAACTGCCATGTGCACTATTCAACAGCAGTCGCGAGACATTCCATCTTTACGCGAAGCGAACTCGGCCTTGCTTTCCCCGCGTCCCTGAGAAAGAATCCTTTCTTTCATGCCGTTTCACTGAGTCAAGCGAATTCTTCTCTGAAATAAAAAAATCACTAGTATCACGATATTCACGGTATTCGCGAACGTCGGATATGCGTGAGTAATAACGAAACGAACAACATTTCTGAAATAGTAGAAACTTCAATATTTGAGAAACGTTTCACCTTGTTTAGCCTCTCCGCGAAAGGATTATCTTCACAATTCGGCAATTATATATTCTTTTGGTGTTTATACACGTGTAAAATCGTCAGATTAAGCAAGCTTACCTTCATATTAGATATTAAATCGCGGCAGCCTTTGTGTCTAAACAATACGTGTGTAGCGTGAGGAATACAGAATTGACCAGGTCGAGTGGGTTCAGCTCTGACAATTCGTCGGGTTACACGGAGCAGACATGTACCTGCGGCAAAAGTGGTAAAAAAGAAACGCGTTAGAAAATCTGCCGAGCTTAACGTCCAACCTTTCAGGTTGAACTCACGGATGAACACTTTTAACATAGAACGTCGCAATTCTCACGTGAATTGGCGAGACACGCTCGAGGAAGAGGAGAAGGAGATCAGGCGGAAGCGGAAAAGGAGATCGCGTCGCCGGTGTAAAAAAGCTTCGAAAAGAGAAAGCGTTCGACGGCGGAGGAAGCGCTGTCTCGCGCGGTTTTGCGATTGCATGCGAGGTCGCGTTTCGGAGGAGCTGATAGTCTGCGAGTGCGGGTCGTCCCACGGGATTCCTGCGAGTCACTACGGGTGTCGCTGTGTCGTAGCTAACGTACACGTCGAAATCACATTCTGCTCGTTTTATGAGCGTGACGGAGATCAATGGCGCATAACGGGACGGCATAACGCCGTCTCTCGCGTTTCAGGCGTTGAGATAACGCGCGTAACGAAAGTATAATATCTCGCAGGCCGGCAGAAAAGGAACGAACCGTTCGACATGCGGAAGCACGCTAATGAATGATCCTCGAGCGGCCAGAGATACCGCCGATCCATCGGTTGCTAACGAGAAAGCCGAACGTACGCGCGAGCCGTCGTCGACGATATCAGAGTTAGCATACTTAGGTTTACGTTTCCTGAATAGCGTTCCCCGTTAACAACTCCCGCTTGATTATCAGTATTTGCAGCGAGGAGCGCGGCGTGCTCGGGAGAGGACTGAACGTCGTTCGCAGAGGATTCTATCGACTCGGCGCGTCCGCGATCAAAATCGTCACTGGCGTGAAGTCGGCGATAATTCGGTAAATCTGAAAAAGTAGATACCCCGGATTACTTGCTCGGTTGTCGAAATATGAGACTGTACGTTAGCGTTCCGTGTTGTATGATCATCTAATTTATATTCCAGACAAGGACAAACTACTAAAAAGATGTCTTAAAGGCATCCAAAAGACATTCTGTTTCTTTCAAGCGTCTTTTGGACGCCCTCAGGACATCTTTTAACAGTTTGTGCTGCCTGGGACGAGAATCTTGTAATGTTAGTCAACAGTGATCTAATCTAACCTAACATTGAATATAACAATAAAAATTGTACTATCTCCAGCATTGTACTTTCGATCGTGATTTCTCGGTCAATTTGGACTCGAGAAGCCGTCCTGTACTTCTCGCGACTGTAGTCGCTAAAGATGGACCACCACTACGCAGTTTTTAACAGATAAATCATCGTAATTTTTTTATAATACGTACGTTAACCATCTCAAACACGCAAGAGAAACATATCAGGTTTCTCACTCTACTTTGTACTACCGTGGCAACGTAACCTTCCCGTTAAAGGAGGGAAACGCGAATAACGAGAAGATATTTCGTCCATTGTAAGGCGCTGAAAGAGCGGAAGTATATACTCTATATAGCTAATTGTCAGATCATTTTTCACTATCTACATGAGTACTTACGTGACTTACGTGCGTGTGTTGCCTCCGGTGGTTGCAAACGACGCCACCGGTACGCCATCTGTCGGCCTTTTACGGAGGCGCTTCGATGCGGTAGGATGTGTTCAAGTCGCTGCTCCGTGTTTTTCGCAATTACCGTTCGTCAGAGGGTTGTCCCACGCATAAATTATCATCGCCAGAAACGCGGCAAGTAAGTTTCGCACCTGAGTTATCGCAAGCTATCGTTAAATCGCCGCGATACAAGTGAATTCGTTATGAAAGGGATTGTCGCTCTGTAGACATTCTATCGAGCCGAGCGTCGCGCGTTTGACACGTTGTGTATTCGAAGTTCACGTCGTTGCTTCTGCGTTCTCGAGTCGCTAAAAGGGGGTCTCGCACGCGTAAGTTCATCGAAATGCCAACAAGATTAGACTTTGTACGTTTGTAGTAGCAAAGTATTACGAAACAGTTACGGAATGGTTGCCAGCTTTATGACAAACTAGAATTCAAAGCGCTGTGTTTTGCATCATTACCGACTTGTCGAGAAGAAAATCACATAAACAACAGAGGTTGCAATAAATAATACGTCTCAGAGATGTCAGAGAATGTTTCAGGAAATTGAATTTTTATTACATAAATCCCGCGCAAGACAAAACGGAATTTTATATGAAATTTTTCAGATTAAGGAACGATGATCAATAAAGCAGAAATTGTCTGCTTTCTGTTACCGATTTACCGACTGTTACTACATTCAAGTCTATTCCTGTTCGTATCGGTCATTCCTATTCGTGGCGCCTATTCGCGGAGAGACAAAGAACTACGTTGAACAGCTGTATTTGCCGCGTTCAAAAGATCAATTGTAACCTTTTGTTCACAACCTTGCTTTAATTCTTAAACCGTAAGAAATTGACCAACCACAGTTGATTATTTTTAAAATAATCGACTGTAGTTGGTTAATTTATTACGGCTTAAAGATTAAAGCAAGGTTGTGGATAAGGGGTAAGTGGTCGTTGCGACGATGTGCAACGTATAGTTAAGCCGGCATATAAACATCGGAATTTTATCACTCTATCCTGCCTGTTCTCCGCGGATTTCGACTCGGATTGAAATAAGGTATGCATGCAACCCGCGGGAATAGAGGATTTCCTCTCGGCGCGTACGAATAAATATGTACGGGCTTTCCTCTGAGGCTATTCGAGATAGGTTATTTTTCTTAGATTTCTATTCTTTTCTGCCGGCATCTCGGCATGATCATTCGTTCACCGTATTGTTAGGCGGGAACTTTATACATACCGCACTTGCGCAAAGAAGGCACGTAATTCTATGCGTGAAATAGGTGCTTATCGTAAATATTTTGTTCGTAGACACTGAACCTGCGGAAAATCGCGTCGTCAAACACGGAAGAATCCCGACGGAGTCGCGACAACGGTTCTGCTAGAGTTTAGAGTGAGTCGTAGAATTTTAATGATCTTATGCAATTTGAAAATAATACTGGCGATTGTTATGCAATAAGAAATGTGTTTACTTGGAATATCTATGCTTAAAACTTTTTCAATTTATTATTTATTATTTAAAATTATTATTAACGGTAGAGACTTTGATATGAAAACTCAAACGTCAAATTCAAAATTTTAGATTTACAATTAATATACTAGTATTTCTTTATTAAATTCACAAATAATATATTGATATTTTGGAAGAAATGGACATTTGCTCTTATTCTTTCTATGTAAGTGTAGACACTTACATACGATTATTCAAAATTTGTCAGAATTGAGTGTTGAACAATTTTAGCCATTACTCAAATCTTTCTCGGCTAAATCTGATTCAACTGTCGGATTCCCAGCACGTTTCGGATGTCTTTTGATATAACGCGCTCCAAAGTTAATTTACTTGCTTATCCTTTGTATCGTTTATGCGACATACGATGTAAACTCATATAAAAGTCAATCTCTGGCGTCTGTTGTTCCATAGCCGTCGAACGTTAATCTGCATACCTTTGATCGGTCTGGATTATTTTTTAGCTTTTAGAACCTCTCGCACGAAGGCCTTTTACTTTATTAGATTTCCTTGAGCCCCTTCGAAACTTCATTTACATAAAATATCTTTTATTTTTATTTTCTTTTGAAATTTTCTTTTTTTTCTCTTTTAATTAAAGAGCAATCTTAATTCGCTATTACGATCAATATAAAGGGAATCATGATCTTACATAAATAAAAATCACACTGTTGTTTAAAAGTGAGCCATACGTAGTAGCGTTAAAATCGAATTTATATAATGAAAGATTCATTGCATACGTATTATCCTAAAATCACTTCAATCGGTAAGCTGTTTCACGCGTTATTTATTTCTTCTTCTTTCGTTTCTATCGTTTCTATTATATCTTACTTCATATATTTCATTTTTCTTTCTTCTCGAGAGTCCCTCGCGCAATTTATCAGGATCTAATTCGCCGGGCTTATCGAGCGGATGACTTTTAGTTTGCGTCTCTGTAATCCATCCGGAGAAAGTCGCCTACGCATGGGCGGTCGACGACAACGACGACAATGACAAGGACAGTCCGAAATCCTTTTCGTCGTCGATTAGATTTGTCTTCATCGACGCTACGAACGCCAAAGAAGTTATCGATGAATAGCGCCGGAATAGGCTTAAGATCGAAAGCACACGGTGAAAGCGTACGTGTGGCGCACAGCAACAGCATCAACAACAACATTGTAACTCATTTACGCAATACAGTTACGGCGGTTGATTGGCTTAAGACGCGCGGTGTCCTTTCCATTTTGATTCACGAGCAGTCCCGCGCGGTGCCGACGTATTTCTTCTGGCTCTTATTTCGCGCCGAGATCGAAACCTCGATAATCGAATTGCGTATCATTACGCCACGAGACGTTAGTTATCCCAAACTTTTTCTCTCTCTCGCGAACCAGAAAGAGAGAAATGGCTTTTTCAATTCAAACAGAATGTTTCATATGAATGTTGTCATGTGCACATTTCGTTCATTATTGCGTAGTTATCGTCAGTTAGCTCAGTTTTTCTGTCGATGAAAATTTGAAGGGTAATAAAAATCAACGAGATCTTGACCATTGTATTTTCGAGAATAGAAATAAATTGCGCGGTTTCCAATAAATAATACAATGTTAGGATTAATTAAAATCGAAAAGAATATTTACAATTACAATTTTGGAGCAAAGAAATTGTTGAGCGTGTTGTGTTTCCTCGCATCATTTGTATTTGATTATTTCATCTCTGTCCGTGCACAATAAAATTGCAGTCAATCATTGCTTGATTAAAATTACCCGACCATCGAGTAGCACTCCTAATTACGTAATAACTCGTGAGGTCAGTAACCTACTAATTGAACAATTATTGCCTGTGAATATGAACGCACCTTGCGTTGAAAAATTATTTATCTCGACCTGGATTGCATGTTTTCACGATAAATATGCATGCTTCTCCCATTATCGATTCAACGTCAAATGCTTCCGAAAAGTATAACGTTGGTTCATTGCGCGTTAATAAATGTCGAATGTCGCGATGGTCAACGGTGAGATTAGTGCAATGCGCTGTTGATCATCATTAATTTACGCGTAAAACATAATTAATCGTATGTTAATGAATCAAATATAATATACAGAAAGTCAATTAAACGAGGTAAAAACCGTACATATGTGCACCCGTGCGCTGAGAGAATTGCACATCTATTTACCGTATCATCAGTCTTTAATTAAACTTTCGAGCGATTAATGGAAATCAGCACGAGCCGTTGAACGCGTTAAAGCGCGCTTTAACAGAGTTAACGGTATGCAGGAGTCATTATGGAGATCTCTCGTGGAAAACCGCGAAGTAGGCAAAGGTATTTGACGTATTTTGATCAAAATACAGCGATGCATTTTGTATTTATGATACTTGTGTGGTCAGAAGAGTTTGTAGGATGCTACAGAACGTTTTTTCCTAGAAAAAAGTTAAAATAAAAATCGAATATATTATACTAATGAACATTCGACACGCAGTGCAGCGTGAGTTTATTAACATTTGTAATTCTTATTATTTTAATTTAATTTAATTACAAATTTTATTTGTATTTATTACACGAAGAAAATATTGCAGTAAAGATTACAGTACAATTTTAATAATCCGGGAATAGACTGGCAGTATTACGAAAATTATAATAAAACATAATAAAAATGACTAAAACATAATTTTGATTACATTTATGATAATTTTTATTATGTTCATGGTCATTTTTATTTTGTCTTATTATAATTTTCCTCATAGTGCTAGTTTACTTCCGGAATACTAAAATTGTATTATGATTTTTATTACAATATTCTCTTTAAATTTTAAAGAGTCTAAATACAAAAATCGGTAGCATTCTTGGCACTTATGCAAGGAGCATGCTAAGAAAAGTTTGGTAAGCAAATATAATATCGACAAAATACTTCAAATTGCAAATACCACAACAAAATGAAGCTCAGCTATACTAACTTGCAGCTGTTGTATCCGCGTGAGCGATGCGTTAGTATTCGCATGTGTATGGACATATAATCACGCACAGAAAACGGTGTTCCGCGCTCTCACTGTGTGAGACGGCTTCAGAATCAAATTAAAATTTGTTCTCGGCTTGTACAGAGACCTTTAATGGTCTCACCTCGCCTCACTTCGTTACACTTCGCCCTTTCCTCCAGAGAAAATAGTTTACGTGGCTTCGCCGTTCACGAAAATGAGAATGTGCAAGTTCGGCACAATCTGACGGAAGTTTAACATTAAC